AGCAGAGTAATCTAAAATATTAGCCTATGCTGGTCTGACAAAACATAAAATTGATGATGTTTTGAGAAGGGGGGAGCAGGCCACCCACTGACTTAGAGCAACTGCTGTATGTTTCTTGATGTGAGTGTGGAAGAGTAGATTGACTTTTTCTTTTCATGCTTAGCTTTCAGCAGGTAAGTAGCGAGAATGAAATGTATGTTTGTGTATTTCAATTAAAGTACATGTGCATCTATTTGCATGATCAAGAATCCTCATTGCATTCTACAAAAATCTGTAGTTATACATTAACGAAAGACACTCAGCCATTCTTGCAAATTCAGCCAGGTTACATGTGTGTTTTATATATTAAAAATTAGTAAATTAATACAAAATTCCTTAAGGAATGCATTCCTTACAGACAAGCATTTAGAACTGTTCATATGAACTTAGATCAGTGTACTAAAAGAACTGATAATGTACCACTGAAGTAAATTTCCAGATGTGCTTCAGAGACTTTTGCAAAGAACCCCAAGCTCTACCTGAAAGTGTTCCACCAGTGAGATTTAGAGGCTTAGCTGGAGTTTAGCTGAATACAGCTCCTAGTTACTTTCTAAGCATTTATGCCCTCGCTTGTTAAATTCCAGGTTGAATATTAAAACTTTAGCCCATGCACTAAGTTCTGGAAGCAGTATGATGTATGATAACTACAACAGATAAGCAGGACACGTGTGTTTACTAAAGGAACCAAATGGACAATAATTATGATCTATTCGACTGCTTGCTTTAATCCCGACCAGGTCATGTTTCAGTTGAAAAAAGTTACGGCAAATGACATCACTGTACTAAAACTGTCCCATTAGATTTGCAGTGCAGCCTGTCTAAAGACATGGCTTTGGAAGTGGCAGCTGTGAACATCAGCTCATCAAGGCATTGCCCTCAGCAAACAAGAAATACAGTCATTTCCTTAGAATTTGTAGGATTTTATACTGGCTGTCAGTGGACTAGAGGCTTTCTGTAGAAACAAGTCTTTCAGAAAATGGACATCATGAACGCTAGCAATTCAGTTTGCAGAAACTGGTTTAATAGTTAATGCTTTAATCTGATGTGAATCTCACTGTATAAACTACGATGCAATAAATATCAAATTGTAACATGTTTATGCCTTTATTGGCTAAGCTTTCAAGAGTCTAATTAAAGACATTAATCTGCAGCGTAGACAGCAGCTGTACTTGTCTGGCCCTGCATCCCATCAGTGTTACTACAATGGCACATAACACTAAGCTCTTGCTGGATATGGGTTTTGGGGGTCTGAAAGGGAAAAAAACACCCAACAACTTCTATCCTTATCTGCAGAAATCTGGGATACAGGCGATATCTGTGCTTCTTCCAGAATTCATTTTCCAGGTCAACTGGAACAGAATCAGTATACAGCAATCTGTCTGATCACAGGTGGCAACAAGCCAACTACCAAAGCAGGTATCTCCAATCCTTCTTACATTTGTGGGCAACCTATCTAAATGATGTGACACTAATAAAATGCAGGTTACTGCAATTCTTGGGAAAAAAAGAGAAAGCTATATTCTCCTTCTAAAGTAAAAGAACCACAACAACAGAATAGCCACACTTTTTTTTTCATAAAAGGTGCTCAAACCAGAAAATAATACATTATAGCAATTTTTAAATAAAGCATGGGTCATAACTTCAGCCTACTGGTAAACAGAAATATAAGCAAACAGCCATTATACTATTGAACAGGGAAAATTATGAGCCTAGGTAAAAAGACAGCCCTTTTGCAATATATTTTCTAACTTCTGTGATGCATATAAACTGAGCAAGATACTTTTTTTTTAGAAGTCTATAAGTCTATTAATTGTTCTCAGTGCTTTCTTGTTTAGGCAGGGCAAGGGAGAGCTACCTTAAAACATGATTTGAATGATGGCGTTTCCTATGTCCCATAACCTTAACAGCATTAGCATATGTCCCCAACTGAGATCTCTTAATAAGGGAAGAGAAGGAGGGAAGAGACCTGAAGCCTCTTGCTGGTTGTTCCACTGTGATGGATAAATACATGGCCTTATACACAGCCAGGAAATACTTTCTCCAAACCTGTCTCTTCCTTTTCAGACACTAGGGAAAAACAGTTCCTGGAACTACCATAATTAAGCTAACACAAGGTGCCCATGTTAAAATAAGATTAATCACTTTGTCTTCTTTTTGCAGAGAAAACATATGCCAGACCCACCAGAGTTACAGGATGAGGAAACAAAATGGGCTGAAGACAATGCTGGTCACTGCAGCTCAAGGCATTAATTTTTGTCCTTTCAAAAAATAATTTTGAAGTAGTTTTCTTAATTTCTGTTAGCCATATTCTCAAATCAAACCCTGTTTACACCATGACTCACATCTGCTGTCTCTTTAAAGATAAATATTTTTGTTTTGGTGTACAAGTTGAACTATTTTGCCATTAACAGCACGCGTAACACAGCCATAGAGAGTACCAAGCCAGAACACTGCCAGGGGATGACTGACATGAGCAGCAAGCCTGGGCTTTCCCCTTCTGACAATCACACAGCTGCGCATCACTCACATATGCTATCAATGCTGAAGAGCCTCTGTTGAGACAACTCACCCTGCCCCTCACCAAAAAAAGATAGACAGACAGACGGACATCAGTGGACTTTTCCTACGCTGCACTAAACTCTCCAGACCAGAAAGAGTGAAATTTTATTTTAAATATTAAGTGGTGTACAGAAAAAAAGTATTGATGTGACTAGTGAAGGAGCCTTCCGTATTCAATGAAAAGTGATTTTGCGATTGAGAACTTAACTGAGTAATTATTTAAATGTCAGTAATCATAAATGAAAACAGGCAGGCATTTCATTTCACATTGAAATAAGATAGTTTTTTCACAGTAGACAAAATTTCACAGTGCAATGACACAACTGTGTCACACTTCGAATTAATAAACTGTTGCTAAAAATACTTAACCTCCTTCTACCCTCCCTCAATCAGTTGTCCCACAGGAAAGACACAGAAAATCAAAACTGATAAAGATAAATTAAAGCAACACATGCTGTCACATTGCTGCAAACTTGTCAAAGAGAGAGAGATGAGAAAATTACATTCTTTTTCTTTCAATCATCCTTCATTTGAGGGTTGCTGGCATCAAAAACCTTTGTTAATTTGTTGGCTTTCAGAAGAGAAATAGCAGAGTGAGCATTTGAATTCCTTCTGTCCCAAACTGAGTCTGGAAATGTTTCTTTTCACTGGGGTCCTGCCAAGTCTCAGGAAGTGTCCATCCTGATTTGGAAGCGGTTTTCATTCTTATTAATACAACTGATTTAAACATCTTCTTGCAGATTACCTAATTCTAATAACATTCCTTTTCACAAATTAGAACTAGTTTATTCCTAATATGAGGACTGGTGAGCTTATAGCATATATTTCATTGTCCATCTTCAGTGGGCAACATCTTAAATGCCCGAAGGAGTGGCAGTTGTGAATTTTTATGCTTAAGATCAATTCAAGATACTTTTTTAAAGCTAGAATACAGTACAAGTTTGAGGAGGAGATTGCACAGCCTACCTTCCCCTTGGACTCTGTAATGAATACAGAACAAGTGAGTGTGATGCCTGCAGTTTGTAAAGATGACTTGCACGGTGCAGAGCAGATCAAGGGCAGAAAGGAAGAGAAGGGACAGTTCCAGCCCTACTGAAAAGCTGAGCAGCAGCAGCAAGGATGTAGAACTGTGGATGCTCCACAGAACTCAAAGTGTATTTGTGTCCTTGCAGTTTTAGGCATAGTCTCTAGCCTTTGGATTTATGAATGAATATTCTCAGTTCACACCTGGCATCTCTGAACATTATTTATTTACAATGCCTGAGCACCAAAACCACAAACCGTGCTTATTACAAGGTTCATTTTTATTTGATGCCACACAAAGTAGTCTTGGGATTTATCTCATCTTCAT